ATTATCATCAAAAAGTCTGGAGAAGAATGCAAACCAATGTTTCTTTTTCTAAGGGTGAAATCCTAGATGACTTCAATGAAATTGCTTTTGCCACCCCACTGAACATTGTAGCCCTTAAAAGCTACCAGGAAAAATTGTATAGTCAGGCCAGTGTACAATGAATAAGAGGAAAATATCTTGTGTTTATTTCTGCACCTACAGGAAGATCAGTTAAAAAAAGGTGGCTGTGCTCTATGAAAGTGTCCACAGCTAAGTGAGAGAAGGAGGAGAAAAAAGATCAAACTTGACCAGAAATGCTGGGCAGTGTTTTTAACCTAGCTAAAATAAACCACCACTTAACACTCTCATTGCTTCTGAAGCCTCACTTGGAGCTTTCAAGATGAAAAAAGCCAGTGATGTGTTTTTTGGTGGTTTTTTTTTTTTTCAGACAGGATCCATTTTCTCCTCCTTTCATTCATGCCTTGTAATGGCCTCAATTTACATGTATAAATTTTAGGCTCTATGCAGGATGTGGGAATGAGATCAATTGGATGAGTAAGCTTCATGTGACTGCCTGCTACAGACTATATGAGGAAAACACTGCTGGAGTGTGTTCAAAAGAAAGGTTGTGGGAATAAGGTGTTCATGGCAGGGAAGATTTGAGCACTGGAATGGAGTTAGGTGAAGTTCCCCATAAGAAAACACATCCTCATGTAGCTTACTGCAAGCTGAAGATATATTTCTCATGTGTTCTGCTCTTGTTTTGGATCATTTTGTGGCAATACAGCTGAGCATACAGCCTAGAGAACTTGGGCTAAAGGGCTTCCTCTCAGAAGCCATAGCAAATGCATATGACTGCTATTTGATGGCACAAATAATAAAAATACTATTTACCTTTTCTCTGGTTCTTCTCCACCTTTATGGCACTCCATCCTACCAGGGTGTTTTCCTTAACTCCTGCAGAATTATGCAGAGCACTGAGCCAATCACTCAATGGAAAAGCACTGCTCCTGAAGACAAGCAAACAGCAAGAACATCTTGGAATTGGAAAGACTTTTTCCTCCTCTTCAGGCAGAACTGTTTAAACATAGGATCTGACAACACCCCAAAGGCTTAGAGAATGTGCACATATTCTGAAGTAACCCTTACCTTCCTTAATGAAACTTTATCCTGCTACAGACTGTGCAGAATAGGGCCTAGTGCCCCTGGTATCTTTCAAACTACATTTTCTTCTAGAAGAATGATTCTATTTATCCTTTTTCTCCATAAAAGGGCAGCACAGCCTCAAACACTCTCTTCAGAGCTCAGTAATTACTTCACAACAGCACGGCAGCAGTTCCCATGCACTGGAGTGAAACATGTTTTCAATTAAAATGGCATTATCCCATAAGTGTCTCAAAGTCAGTGCTAAATGGAACTTAATCGCATAAAAATTGTTCATGATAGGCCAGTAAAACACACTGCACCATAACAGGCAGGTTTGTGCAGTGCTGAATTCACTGCAGTGAAAACACTTCCATAGAAAGATGCAGCTTAGTATTCTACTCTTCCAAGAAGAATCAGAGCAGGCATAATTTTTTATGAAACATTTGAACATGGAGGGGATAGCAGTTGATTGAAAAGGTTGTTGTAAACATATTCCAAGCATTAGTAAGAAATATGAAAGAAATTAGAGAACAGGTGTTTCAGTACAGCTACAGGTATGAAAATGTTCATAAAAATGCACATAAAAAAAGACAAAATATAATTATTTCAGAGGAAGAAGTCAGAATATATTTACAGAAAAGCCACTGGCAACAGGATTAAAGAGGACCCCAGGCAGGAAAATGGTAACACCAAAATAAACCCTTGTGTGCATCTGTAAAACACAGATCTGTAGCTCAGTCAGTGATGAAAATGGTGTGTGACTCTTGCAACATTGAGGAAAAATATTTAATGCAATTACCTTTGAACATTTGGATGTCTCCTAACTATGTTAAGACTTTTCTTTTGGCATGTAGCTGTCCACAAATGTGCTTTACCCTGGATGGACATGTGCAAACCCTAGTGCCCTGGATGTGCTCAAGGATCTGGAAAAGTTTCCCCTCCTTTCCCTCCCAGCTTGGTGTTTTGTGTCACAGCCTGAGTGCTCCTGCTTCCACCCCTCTCCATCAAACGTAGCACCTCTCCAGCTCTCCATCAACTCTCCAGTGCAACAATCTATCCACTAATAATACCAAAGAGTACTCATAAACCCACAGAAACATTCTTCTGCATCATGCCCAGCACGTATCCTGCACTGCCACAGAAGGCAGCAGGAAATCATTTGCCCTGGTAGCATTGTTTTGTGCCATTCATTCTAATTTTAAAATTCGTCTGCCACCTCATTTAGGGCTTCCTGTGCTGCACCTGTGTCACCCTCTGCCTGAACTGCTCTCTTAACATTCAGTGCTAGAGAATCTTAAAATATATTATAATTAAAGCTCACAGACCACACTTACTCTGAGAGGGAAAAAAAAAAAAAAGGAACAGAAGAAACCAATATAAATCCTAAGGGACTTCTAAAGATTAGTGGCAAAAACAAATCCGTGCTGAAGAAAGGGCAGAGGCAAACATGAAAAGCAGAGTTCAGGGAAAGCAAAAATATCAAAATGAGGTCATAATCCCACTTTGGGACACACAGATGCCTTTGCTTGACTGGCTTTGCAGAGAAGCAGTGCAGGGATCAAGGACTGAACTGACACCACCCAAAACAATAAGCAGAATGCTTTTTATAAGTGTACAATAACAAGATGCACAAACACAAAATTAGGTTTTTAATTGCCATGTTAACACACTGACTTTCCACAGGTTTTTACCCTTAAATTTCCAGTGAGTATCTCTCAACAAACAGTTAAGAAAGAACTATGCAAAAAAGTAGAGCCAGGATACCGTATAAATCTTAGAACAATGGATCAGATATTCAATTCCCTTAAAAAAATCACAGATTCCAAGAAATTTTAAGAAAACAAGAGACAAAAAAAATTGTGTCTGTCAAAAACTAAAAGGAATCCAGTGAAAACATCTTAATGCCTCAAGAAAAAACATTTTATACAAATCCTGCAGTAATTCCAGTTTGTGAACATGACTTTACAAATCACTGAAAAATGTGGCTATCTATCTGTTGATCTATCTATCTAGCTATCTCTATATATATGTAAAGACAAAAGTCTGGAAAACTTAATGAAAATCTTACCAAAGAATCACCAAATCAAAAAGCTGCTGGAGAGTGAACCTGCTTTTTAAAATGGCTTTGCTAGTGGGGCTTTTACACTGGCAGTATAATGGAAGAAACAGTAGCAAAAAGTAATCTGAGGAAAATCTATCTATTAAAATAAAAGGGGATACAAGAACAACAAAATGTTGTATTTAAGGCAGAGAGCTAATTTGATGCAGTGCCTCGTATTCCACAGAGTCATTTTGCAATCTGGATGACCTGAAGCAGACGCAGAAAGGGAACTCTATAGGGAAATTATTTTATTTACTATTGCAGAAGATGCTGGTGACAAACTGAACATGCTCTCAGGCACAGAAGCACTTTTTCATTCCTAGAAGACAACCAGAAAGGCAATTGGAAGACAAAAAATACAAGTTGTATCCATCAGCATGTGCCAAGGACTGATGTTGGGTGTGCTAGCACCTAAAATACCACCGCTAACCTAGAAATGAACTGTGTTAGTGAAATCTACATGTTTATCCGGGGGGAAAAAAATCATAATAGTGGAATATAAAAGGTACTTGAGCAACTAGAAATACGAGCATTTGTGGATACGGAATTCCTATCTCAAATAACAAAAGGAAACACCACTCCCTGGCCAACATAATAGATTAGATAAAAATCAGAGGGAACACAGCTTTGGAGCTATGACTCTGGGGCAGGTGATAGATAAATTAATAATCACATAGGACCTTTGTAGGCCGCATGGAAGCCAAACGCAACTGTGAGGGGGACGTACGCTTGTGTGGGCTTTGGCTCGCCAGCCACTCCGTGCCAGTGCTATTCCACGGGCATCTCAAGGAAAGCCAACGTGCACGGCCAAATATCCTGGAATGAGAACTGGAAAACAATTGCTGGAAAAAACAAGCGCCGCCGCGCTCACTTGAACGGGTTGTTGACTCCAAACTCGAGCACCTGAGGGGCACCTGAGGGGCTCCGGAGGGGCAACCGCTGTGCCCTGTCAACCGAGGGCGCCTGTGCCCTCGAACCGAGACCAGGCGGGGACGGAGCAGCGGGGTTGTGACAGCCCCTAACCTGGCGTCGTATCCACCCCGCACCTTCGGCAGGACGCGAGGATCCGGGATCCCAGCCCCGCTCCCGCCCCATCGCCTCAGGCGCCCCCCGGCCTCGCGCACCTTCCCGCGCGCGCACCGCGCAGGCGCACCGGGGGAGGGCGCGGCCAAGGGCTCCAATCGCCGCTCCCTCCCTGCCCCGGCTCGGGAATATCCGGGACAACGCTCCGGGAGCGCGTCCCGGCTGCCGCCACAGTGCGCAGGCGCGGCGGCGCCAGGCTGGGGAGGGGAGCGCGAAGGAGGAGCGGGAAGCGGGGGAAGTAAAAGTTGCCGCGAGGGCGGGGCCGCGCCCGGAGTCGCCGCCGGGAGGGGGCGGGAGAGGAGCTGCGTGAGGAGCCGCCGGTGAGCCGGGGGTGCGCGGGGACTGAGGCGGGCGCGGGACAGGGGGTAAATCGCGGCGGGCAGGGGTCGGCTTGCGTCGGGGAGCGGGCACGGTTGTGGCCGCGCTCCCGGCGGGGGAGGCGGTGGCACTGCCGATGTGCGGGCGGAGTGCCGGGGCGCGGGACAACCTCCTCCTCCCGGCCAGGGTTAAATCCCTGCCGGGGCTGCGTGGGTGCGGGTCAGCGGCAGCTCCGGGGCCGCGGGCGGCGCTGCCCCCGCCGTTGTGTAAGCGGAGCCGGGGCCGCGGGGCGGAGCGGGACCCCCGAGCCGAGCGGCGGAGCGCGGTTAATGTTCAACGCGGGCGGCACATGCCCGGAGCCAGCGAGCGAGCTCTCCCTCCAGGAGCGCTTCCAGAGGCTGTCTGCCTGGAACAGGAAATGCCGGTACAGGTAGTGCTGGGGCTCTTGGAAATTTCATCGCTTTGCGGCGTTTCGGTGGCGGAGTTGTTTGCTGTGTGTTCTCGTGCAGATGGAGTTTCGGAGGCATGTGGGTAGGTGTATGGGAATATATGCAAATCATATGCTTAGCATCAGGTCTAAGTTTACCTATATCCTTTACTTTGATTTTCGATGCAAATGTTTTTAAATCAGTTTTTCAGAGGAACCATGACTTGTTCTTTCAACCTACATTTTTCCCTTCCCAGAATAAGCGTGAGTTTTACATATCTCTACTTAGTGCTTTATTTTGCTCATGCAACCCCCTACCAAAATCACCAAACACTGAAACACTTAAGCTTTTTTAACTTTGAAGCTACTAGGATTATTTTAAGAACAACAACTTAATCGTGCAAACACCATTGTGCCTGATTCATGATGCCCTTCCACCCCAAGGCAATGGAAAATCACTTGACTCATTTTATGATTACCTGCTCTTATAGAATGAAAGGGTGTTTTTTGGTGTCAGAATAGTGAGACCTCATGTTATAATCTGACTGTAAATTAGCCTTGTCAAAGTATAAATAATCCTTTCTTCCCCTAACAAGTTGTTGCAAAGCAAGAAGTACTTACTAGTTATTTTTTTGGAGTATCAAATTACTTGCATAAAAAGTTATTATTCTTGACCAGTGGGATGTTGACATTAAAAACAGGAAAAATATGCACTTGACTTTCATATCAAGCCTTGATAGTGCAGAATCTTTTTTGGCCATACAGTATGCATGATGAGCCACTGACAAAATTATTTGCATGTGTGACCCAGAAGGTGTCAGGGTATTGGCACTGTCCTTGCTTATTCCTTGCCTCTTGATAGAGTAAAACAGTTTCGTCACTGTGGGATGTAGTGGTGGGAGCAAAACCCATTCACAGGGTTCCTCACAAGCTTCATGGCTGGAGCAGAATCAAGTAGCAGTTTGTTGGGGCCGGGTTAAATGATGTTGGATTGAGGCTGGATCAGGATTTTAGATGTGCAGACTGAGCCAAGTGTTTGTAGGAAGGTTTGTACAGGATATGTCAATGAAGAAATGTATGAGGTGTAGTCATTCAGACATTCAAACTCTTTTTTTGACAAATCTATAAAATATCTGTGGGTTTAAGGATGATGCTGACATTACCATTCCTTGTAACTCAGTTTTGCATTTTTTCCCTGGTGACTTAAGAAATCAGAAAGCTTTTTTGAGGCAGAGCAGCACTTGGCATTTTGCACTTCTGTTAATGATGAAAGATCAAACTGAAAAGCAAGGCAATTAATCTGAGACAAAAAGGCCAGTGTGAGCATCACTGTAAAGATGCATTCTATCTTTCTGAGACTTAGGAAAAGGTACATTGTAGCCTTTGAATAATCACATGTAAAGCAGTAGGAAGGCAGAGAAACAAAAATCTTCTCCGTGGTGTCTGTGTGATGATTCATTGTAAATCCTGGCCCATGTCATGGGCTGGGAATTTGTGTTCTCCAAGATCTTTACTCAGAGTTCCCATTGCAGCTATTTCTAAAGTTGGTTTCTCCTTGTGACAGATGAGGGAGGCCGAGCTGTGAACCTGTTGTTTTGCTTTTGATGCAAACAGGAAAGTTTTTATTGGAACAGCTTTAAGCAAAAATTGTGCACTTGCACAAAAGCTGTCTGGGATAGCATCTACAGTCCTGGTTCTCCACCCTGGAAGGGAACAGAGACCTGCAGGAGCAGTGGTTTGGAGTAGGAGGGACAGCTAAATAGGCAAGGGCTCCAGAAGAGACAATAGAGATCCTGAAAAAAGAAAAAGTCTGGGTTGGGAATCTACAAGGATTGTTTGGAGGAATTTCTAAAGGAGACACATCAAATGCTCCTTTGGTGTCTTGAGGGCTTGTTGAATCAGAATGTGTCTTTCTTGTTGAGAAAGAATGTGTCAGACCAATACCAGCCAGTGGTAAAATACTGGTATTGGCCCTTTCTTGTAGTGTTTTTCTTGTTTCTTCTCATGTGTGTTACAAGTGTGTGCTGTTCATGGCATGGAGTTTTTCTCCCTCTCTCATGTTTAAAATAGTGGGAATTTGCATTCCTGTAAATGTATTTCTGTGACATCTTCCAAGGACCAAGACTGGTGGCTACTCAAAACATTTACATGTATTTTATGGTGCATGAGATTTGTTGACAAATATATTTAACATGGTAGAAGGGCACAGGATCTGTGCAGGGGACAAAAAAATTGATTCAGTCTCATTGAGGTGGGTGTAAGAGATTATTTCTTTCAATTTTTGGTCTTTTTCTGCATTTTTAAAGCAGCTTCACTGTTTGTTTCTTTCTTCAAATGTAGGGAAAAATCATTACAACCTCCAACACTGTGACAATACAAATCAGATTTTTGTTCAGTTAACAGAATTTGTCAATTTTAAATGACAACCTTTTGAACTGAGGAAAGCACTCCAACTCTTGCAGTGGCAAGTGGTTGAAATTTTGATGGATTTCATTCTGTTAAGGAGGAGACAGTAACCCCAGTCCTAATAATATTGGCTCATTGCAGAGAATGTTAGTGGTTTCCTATCACAGCTTTATTCCCTCCTAATATATTTCATCGCTCTTCCTTCGCAATGTTTTTTTGTCTGGTGTGTAAATTCCGACGTTACATCAGTTTAGGAACTGATTTCCCAGAGTTGTCACTGTGTTGGGTGGGGTTGCCAGGCTCAGCACAGAGGCATGAACTGCAAGCAGAAGCAAAATGCTGTGTGGCTTAACAGCAACCCCAGCACTGGGCATGAGCAAGGTTTGCCATTAGTAATTTGTGCAGCACACTGAGAATAGTTCCAAAGTGAAGCTGAGGAGATGTAAATAACTATTCGTTAGCCAAATTTCGGGGATAGAAGCAGTCAACAACTTTTGAACTTGTTGGCAGGTTTCCACTCAATTTGACAGAAGGGATAGAAGCCTCAAAGATGATTATGTACTTAGAAAGTGCATGAATAGAGGCAGCTGGCTGGAAGAGAGAGACCTTGTAAGATGATGTGAGGAGCAGAGTTGGCTTCTGCCCCAGCTAGGGAGAAAACTGCACGAACTCTGCCATGAGGCAGAAAATTACCAAGAGCCCAGGCATTGGTAGTTCCAGTGTTCACAGAGCCAACTGTTTGTCCCATCAGTTTTATCTTGATGGATATCAGGGGTGCTTAAACCCAAATGTGCTCGTAGAAAGGGATTGTTTAGGCAAAATATCAGCTGCACTGATTTCTAAGCTTCTTTAGTGACACTGCTTCTTGAACTAAAGGGTCTGTGCCGGGCACAGCTACTGCTGGGGTGTACTAACCAAGCAGGTGATAACGTGCAGGTCTGCTGACAAGTGGGTTTGTTGTTCTGGAAGTTGTAAAGGCAAGTGCCAGGAATTTGTGACAGGCATGTGTTTGGTCCTGTAAGGGTGCACAGCTAAGGGTAGCAAGGTGCTTGATGAAAATCACCTGTGGCTGAAGAACAGTGACTGAAATTGGGCAAGGTGGAAGGAGTTAGGCTGGTAAATAGACATTGGTTTGAGAGCTTATAGCCCTTGCTTAGTGTCTTTGGTTGAGAACAGTTGTCCACAATCAATTCCTCTAGTCTGAAGGGTAAAAGTATTCCTTTAATTCTTAGCTGCTAAAAATCTTCTGCAGCATGTCAGTAACACTGTGTGAAATAACTCTTTTCCTGAAATACTGCACTTACTGTAGACTCAGTATAGTTCAATCACAGAATGTTTGGGTTTGAAGGGACCTTAAAGATCATTGTGTTCCAAACTTTCCACTATCCCAGGTTGTTCAGAGCACCATCCAGCTTGCCCTTGAACACTGCCAGGGATGGGGCAGCCACAGCTGACTGATGGTCTAGGCTCTGTCACTCACACCTTAAAAAGATCTGGTAAACCCCAGTGGTTAATGAGTGCTGCAGTGCCCTTAGCAGCACTGGCTTACCACAGACAAGAAGAAGTCTTTAGGTTCTAATTATGGTGCTATTGACTATTGAATTTAGGTTATGGGAGTCTGGTCCAAGTCCCTGAAAGTTAACCCAAACTCATGGGAGGTGAAGCAACCAAAACTGATCAGCAGCATCACTTCTCTGGTTTACAGAGCCATCTGTGATGAGGACAGGTTTGTCAGCACAGCAGTCATGTTCTTGGGTTTTTTTTAGGGATTTTTTTTTGTTTGTTTGTTTTTTCTTTTTTCTTTTTTTTTTCAAATCAAAACTGAGATATTTGTCCAATATAAATTTCAAACCAAGATGCCACTATAGCTTTCTCACCCTATGGAGAGGCTGTGATGACAAATTAATCCCATTGCTCCTGGCACCCTTGGAAGGCTCATCTGCAGTGCCTCTCTTAGTGATGAATGAGAAGCCATGAACCTTAGTATTTAATGCAGTGGAACTTCTGCATACAAAAACTGCAGTTAATGTGTTCTGCAATTGATTAGAGTAAGATTGTGTGATAGATGGAATTATTTGTATTCACAGCTTTGTGGATGTGAAATTCAGCAGGAAGCATTTTAATGCAATGGGACAGTAATACAGAGCTAATCCAGAAACACTTTTTCATTAAATTCTTGCACTGAATATTTATAGCTTTTCCTCACAGCCAGTTCAACAGCTAAATGCTTGGTGCATGGAGTGTTGGTTGTAGGGCATCCTTGAAATGCAAGAGAAAATTACTTCCTGCAAGTTCTTAGTAAATGAATGCTCTTTGTCATTATCCTAAATTGTTCTGGATGAGCTCTTGTTTCCAAAACAGGTTGTATATTTCTAATAAGATCTGAAGCTGGTAGACATGTCCAGCTACGTTTTCTTTTCCTATTCTCTTTCTGGGTTAACTGAAGTGAACATAAAGAAAACAAAATTGTTACATGATGTTCTGTCAAGGTCAGTTTCCAGCTACATTTCAGACTCCTTGCTCAGCGCTGCCACAAATCACACTTGCTATCTCCAGTATTATTAAATCAAATTACTTACGGGTGAGATACAGTAACATCAGTAAACAAACAGAACTCATCTGATTATTCATGGGGCAAAAGAGACTTTTGGTTAGGTTCCAGTTATTGAATTTGTTTTTAAATACAAGCAAGTGCCAATGTTTGTCTTAAATAAAGGGGAATGGTTTTAGGGGTGCAAGACTTCCTCTGGGTATTTTTGAAAGCCACATATCCCAGCTGTGCAGTATTAGAGAGCTGTAGAGTGGTTTTTTGTGAATGTGGTGTTGCTTGTTCTGAGCTAAGTTCTCTTGCAGTTTATACAGTATTCCAACTACACAATTAATCTTTGTCTTTTAGTACTCCTCATTAATCTTGCTAAGCTTACCCTGTGGAAAAAACTGTAGTGAGAAGCTGCAGGTTTTGAAGCATACTGATGTGTCTTTAGTATCTCGCATGCTTGTGAAATCTAAGGTGAATATCTCTGTTGAAATGTGATGCCCAAATTTTACCCCCTTTTTTTTTTCTTCTTCTTTCTTTGCCACACATGTAACCCCAATTGTGTTGGTTTATTTAAATTTATTCTGTTCTGTTCCACCCAAATGTTTGTGTGGGTGATGCAGTAATGCCAAACAGACAGAGTAATCCATTGTTGTGCGAGGATCACGGCTTGGGCTGTACATGTGGTTGTGGGGATGTTCTGGAAATGGACTCATTTAACCTTCAACATGCTCCTTCAAAAGCTGGAGAAACAACCCTTATTGTTGCAATTTGAAAATCTTGGAATTGGGGCAGTGACCAGAACGTTCTTGCCTTGCTGCTAGCGCTGTTTTTCTGGCTGCTTTGAGAATGCAGCCAGGTTAATGACACATTTATGTAGTGTTTGGTAGGCAGAAGAAACTTCAGAAAGCTGAGTACTAGCTGACAATCCATCCATAAAATTGAAATAAAAACCAGCTTTGCTTTTTGAGTGTTGAATAAAATGACTGACTTCTTGGTAATGTTGTTATTAGACGTGGAGTTTCAAAGATTGAATAACTCATGTATTATATGGTCTTTTTATAAGCTGTTGCAGGTTATTAGGAGAATCTTTACAACAATTTTATTTTGATCTTTAGAGATGTGTAAGAAATTAGAAGATAATAGATTATGATAGATAAAATAACTTTTATGGCTTAAAAGCAATTATTAGGTGGAGATGTTTTCTTCTCTTTCCTGGCTACTTCATCTTGCTTTTATATTTAGAGATTGTTTTAGCCATGATCTTTTTCTCAATTTAGAAGCTCTTTAACATTTTTGATTTTTCTTTTTTTTCAATAATTTCTGTTTTTTTCTTATTTCAGGTTCACTGGAAAGAGAATGCAATAAGCATGACATCTTCTAAACTGGAATATATTTCATGGGTTACAGTTAGAAGTAAGAAGAAGATGGAACAAAATGAGAGAACAGGAGTATAATACCTGACAAGAACTTTCCAGTCCTGTGATATATACACACACACACATAAACTTTCAATATAATACAGCTAATGATTTATAGTAATACTTCATTGATATCCCTGGAAGAAGTCAGTTACTGTGCAACTTGCTTAATAAGAACTTGTATTCTAACAACCTTTAACATGTTTTAACCTTAACTGGACACCTTTATTTATTTATTTTTTTAAGACTGAAGGTTAAAAACATTGTCCAGCTGTATTTTTACTGGGAGACTGCTCCTGAGGGATGGCTCACAGCTGCTCATGGAAAATGGACTTAAGCCCATGAATGGTTACAACTACACAGAGTTGAATGGAATGCCATGACTTTAGAAATATTATTGTAGAACCACCTTCTTTGCCTTGCACCCATCATATCCTTAAATATTCAAGTGTGAACATTGTGATTATAAACTCTAAAAAATAATGGCATGGGTGAAATTCCTAAGAAAACCTGGGGGTAACCTTGGAAAAGTTTATCAGCCTGGAAGTATCCTGTCCCTGGCCCCTACAAAAGGCTTATTAAATGAACCTGGACAAAACAGCTGCTTTCTTAATAGTGCTGTTCAGGTAAGAAAAAGCTTCATCTATTAAACATTTTTTGAGTAGGCTTTCCTGAGTGTGTGTGGGAAATAAAAATGGCAATTGTAGGAATAAGATGCTGTTGTGAAGGTAATTTTATTCAGCATTTAGCTGTAAAGAGTTGAGAGTTTTAATATTTTATTTTGCACAAAGTTTCATTTGCATGCATCAAGAATATCTGAAAAACTGTCCTTTTGTATTTGAAAATGTAGGAGTTAGAACTTTAAAACTTTCTTCTTGGATTTTAGAAGTAATGTTTCTGTCAAACATAGCAAAATAATTTGAAAATTTATATGACACTTTTTTATGTGGGGCAACAATTACTGCTTGTATTGACTAGGGCACTATTTTTATTAAGATCTCATTTTCTCAGAATTAGCACATGAGCATGCCTGTGATGCTGGGATATATCAGAACATGCACATACAGTGAGGGCTTTGATTCTAATCTTAGGAAAGATTTGTGGAATTAGAGTAGGAGATACTCTTGGTACCCAAGAAATATGACTTGGAGTTCTTCTTCTAAGAGGAATTCTTCTAAGAATTCTACCTTCTAAGGTACTTCTTTTAATGCTCAGATTTTGGATCTGAATATTTTTAAATTGTACAGAATGATTTCTCAAACCGGCAGAGGACTTAATAGACATGGACTTCCTAAAGTCTTCCTAAAAATTGGAAGACTTAAAATTGGCATGGATTTAAAACTTGGAGATATGAGAGGTATAGCTATGTGGTGTGTATAGTAGCTGTATGTATTTCAAATAAAATTGTACTGTGGTTTTAGTGGAGTGTTGGCTGTTTTGCATCCAATGGGAGCAGCGTGACCTATATTCTCCTGCAGTTCTGCTGTTTTCACTTAGGTGCCCTAAAATGAAGCCCTAAGTAATTTTTAGTTCTACTTTCAGACAATCCTACAATTCACAACCCAGTGCTGTTTATCAAGCAGGGGCAGGTGGTTGGTGACTGCCCTTTTACAAGGAAGAATGTGTTCCTTTCTTTTCTTTTAACCTCTGCTCCACCTTCAGAACTGAGCTTTGGACTTTCGGTTTCCAACACATCCTATTTCATTTTAGCTTTTATATTTATAGTTAGGATATCTTTTCCCCCCTGAATTTGCAGCTGTTGTCTTACTGTGCCTCTTGGCAACTCATTTTTAGGGGTTTTATTTTTATTTCTTCAATGGACAACTTTCTGAACTGCTGTACTTCATGTGTACCCAAGACATTAGATATTGAAAGCAGTGGGTGTAGCCCAGCTGTTATTACATTTTTGTGGGATATTTACCCAAATAAGAGTAAGCACCAGGATTATTTTGATCTGTGGAAGAACAAATGTATTTCAGCAGTCATTTTGATAAGAGACTGTAAGAATATCATATAGGACTTAACTCTTATGTAGAGCTTTAAGAAAACTGCTGCAGTCCCTGTACAGGGTTTACATTGCTGCTTGTTTCCTTGAGAGTACATTGTGTTAAAAAGTTTAAAAGACAGATCTAAATTTTAAGTGCTGAATGTAAAACTTTCATTTCCACCTCTGTAAGTTACCAAATAATGGAAAAAACACACATTTCCTGCAGCAATGATGGTAGTTAAGTTGTATGTTATGTGAAATAAAAAAACTATTAAAATCTACTGTACGTTGTGTAAGCAAAGAACCTTCAGAACTGATTACTGATTTTCTCTTTGTTTTTGTAGGTATTATGGCAACTTGACATATTTCGACGAAGTTTAAGAGGTTTAACTGGACACGTGTGTCAAGGAGATGCCTGCATATTTTGTGCTTTAAAGGTAGATTAAAAATTCTGGAAAAATCGTATTTCACAATGAGGGAAAACCAAATTAAATTATTTTTTGGAAGTGTGTGCCTGTATCATACCTATCCCTGGGTGACCAAGTAATTCTTTTTGTAAAGAAGCAATTTAGATTTAAGGACATTTCTAACAAATGTTTGTTAGAGAAATATTTTCTTGTATGTAAAGAAATTTTGCAGCATTCTGGAGTTGGTTACAATGGCATAAGTTATTTTTTTAACAATGTATTTGTGATATTTAACTCAATGGCCTATGTACTCACCTCAAAAAAGAATACTTAAATTATTTGCAAGGGTCTGTCCCCTGCTGTTCTGTACACTACTGGTTTTGCTTTCTTGGCTCTTAAGGACACTGGTTGAGTAATTCTGTTTGTTCTGTGTTCAAAATCTTGGGCATGTAGATTTCCATGCAATATATACACTGGATGAGGATAAACAGTGACTTGTTTGTGACTTGAGTGGATTTTTTGGTTGGCTTGGGGTTCTTTTTATGCTCTTAGGCTATTGTAACCCTTCTTAGATGTTTAACAATGAAGGATATTTTATCTCTGTCAGCTTCTCCTATGAACTAAAAGCATAGCCAGTAAATTATGAAACTTGGACTGTGCAGGCCACTAAACTGAGCATACCTGTCTGCACACCTCCTTATCTCTACTGCTGGTAATTTTTTTTTTTTAGCTGGACATATAAAGCTATGTTGCATAACAAAAAATGACCTAGCAGCCAAAATAAGGAGTGATAAATGCTTTGAAAGCAGATCTGTTAAAAACTTCATTTTGAATGTTTGCATGGAGATAGTAATGGCTGTAATTTTTGTCAGTAGTCCCTGCTTTTTGTTTTGAGAGGAAAGATTAAATACTTGAGAGACACCCTGGAATGCATCATGGTTAAAACAATACTTTTTGTTAGCAGTGAAACTTAGCTTCTCTGTTTTATCCTTGCCTTCTATCCAACAGATTTTAACCATAGGAAGCCTATGTGAAGAATGCCTATCCTTATTTATGTTTTACATGGCTTCTCCTGACTTGCTTTGTCTTTAGTCTCTTTGGTTCTCTCTAAAATTGGACTTAGAGTTCTTGACTGGGGAAGACACCTTTAAATATCTGCAAATCTGTAATTCATTTAATAGCTTTTAACTTTCAGTTCTTTCAGAATCAACCTCCTTTACTTGCTAAATGATGAGCTCACTTGGATGGATATCCCTGCCAAAAAGAAAAGTAGCAGCCAGCTCTCTCTTCTGGGAAATGAATTGAAAACCAAGTGCAATTTATTATCATGTCCCAGAACTGCAGTTATTGACCTTTTCTCTTGTGTTGTGTGCACTGGTTCAGCACTGAGCTAATTTCATAGCAAGGATTATTGGCATTCTATCTAATTTATGGGAGGTTTATAACTTTAATAAAGATACAGTCCCCTCCTAAGCAGTAAATATCACATTATTTAGTGAATCATGAGTGGTATTACATTATGCCCTAAGAAATATACTCTGTCTGTAGACATGAGATACATCTGGATGAACTGCTATTCCAGGGGCCAAATTACAAAAGCTGTATAATTACAGAACAGGGCTTGTGATGCCTCTGGGAGCTCAAGTCAACCACTTTTAGTTTTGTATTTGTATGTTGTTGTTCTACAAGTTCACTGTTTAGTTTGGTACCATAACTTCTTGTAGAGGAATCAGCAGAATAGAAATGTAGTAACTTGAAAACAGTAATTTTGAAATTTATAAGCATTATATTTATCAACATTTCACATGTTTATGCAAGAACTGATGCATTTGTGTAGAAGCACAGTGTCTAGCCAAGTGGTTAATGAAGCTAAGTGAGCTCTGCATTTGCTCCTAGGCCATCTTTTCCCAGTTCCAGCACAGCCGAGAGAAGGCGCTCCCGTCGGACAACATGCGGCACGCCCTCGCCGAGAGCTTCAAGGACGAGCAGCGCTTCCAGCTGGGCTTCATGGATGATGCAGCAGAATGCTTTGTGAGTGTCTTCATGAGAGTCGAGTTGACTTCTAGTAGAGTTAGTTTAGGGGTTTTGTTAGCTCCAGGCTCGTGGGTAGGGTTTAAATGACATAATCCTGCTGAGCTTCTTTATGCCTGTTTAGGGCAACAGACACGTGGAGTAACAGTGTCAGGTAAGGGAGGTGGAGTACTCGATGGCGTACTCTTGCATTTGTTCCATACTTTGCTCCCTTAACTTCATAGCTGATGATGAACTCTGAGTCACTCTCCAACATATTTTGATGGAGAGAAAAGTTGTCTTCTCAGGAGAAGCACCTATGGATTTGAATATATTGTCTGTTCCTTGAAGTATTGGGTCACCGGCTATTGAAATACAACTGGCCAGCGCATTGCTGAATTCTGCTGCAGAAGAGATTTCCATTGTCTTACCCAAGAGTGAACAAATACTGCAAGATTTTCCTGTAGTTACTTTCTGCTTCACTGAAGTGTCTTACTGAAAAACACAAGCCACTGCTGTGACCTTTAAAGGTGACTCCAGATGTCGCAGAACTCTGCTAAAGAAAACTTCCTAAGAGCTCCTGTGTTAGACAGTGAAAATGTTCACCATGAAACACCTGCAGTATTAACATTCAGACATGGATTTGAGGGGCAGGAAATATGGTTACTTTTAGCTTCAGTTACTTTTAGCTTTGGACATCCTTTGGGAGTATCCACAAATTAATTCCTACCTGCTAGAGGTTTCTTCACATTTGTAGGAAAATCCAGTGCAGAACTCCTGAAAGAGGCTATTTGAGTCATGAAAGAGAGCCTCTTATTACTGTTCCATCTACTCAAAATGCATTTGGACTCCTGAACTAATCATCTGTCTGATCTACCTGAATAGATTCACTTCTTTCCTTTACCTTTGATAGTTTTGACAAAAGGAAAAAATGGCCTTGCTAATTCAGAGGACAAGCTCATTGCAGCCACAGCATTTTGGAGCCAAGGGGCATAGTTGGAGTACTACATTGTAGTGTTCATCATGTGTTCTAACTTCATCAGTTCAGTTTACATTTATATTGTTATTTCTTTTTAGGAAAATATCCTTGAGAGGATTCATTTCCACTTAGTGCCAAACAGTGAAACAGATATGTGCACTTCGAAATCCTGTATTTCTCACCAGAAGTTTGCTATGACCCTGTATGAGCAGGTCAGGCCTTCATTTGATTGGTTTAACAAATACATTGTTTTCTCTTTCCTTAGTAAATTAAAGCAAAAGTTGTTTTTGTTTTTTTTTTTAGTGTGTGTGTCGCAGTTGTGGAGCATCATCAGATCCATTGCCTTTTACGGAATTTGTGCGTTACATTTCCACCACAGCCCTGTGGTAAGAGCTTTTATTCTTGTTACTCATTTTTCTATATGTACTCTTCTAGTAATATGCAAAAGCATGCCCGGCTTTTAAGTGTTAAAAATTAATATGGATTTTTTTGGTTGCAATGTGCTTTTGAAATACTGTTCAAAAACAGCATTTGGATTTCAAATCAAGACGTAGAGAGGGCTTGACAAAAAAATTTGCATTTCTACTGTTTTACTACTGTGTGTCTTCTTTTTAGTTATAGAATGCAATTAATTAAAATCTGTTACTCTTCAGAAGGGAGATCCATAGGTATGTAATTTATTGTTTGCAGTAATGAAGTAGAAAAAATGATGGAGAGGCATGAACGTCTCAAGCCAGAAATGTTTGCGGAATTGCTGCAGGCAGCAAATACTGCTGATGACTACAGAAAGTGTCCTGTAAGTAAACAAAAATGTTACATGACTTGGGGATACAAGGGAGAACATTTGGGATGGTAAATCAGGCCAGAAGTATTCCTCTACAAGCAGGGTTGAGTTGCTGCTTCAGAGCAGTCAACTTAGGGCAAAGAAAGCTCTTACACTTATGTTTTATTGTTCCAGTTACAGAGATTTGTTTTGAGGTACTGATTAAATATAGAAGGTAAGCTGTAATCTTCATCAAAGTGTTTTTATGATGAAGAATGTTATCCTTTAATTGTTGGGAACAAACATCATAACTAAATTTTGGGATTAAAGACATTGCAGAGTTGTTTCTTTGAACTGATTCTTGTGTAGTGACTCACCTTTGGACACTTTTGTTTTCCTTCCCATCGTGGTTTTTGTTTCCTTTTTTCTAGAGTAATTGTGGTCAAAAAATAAAAATTCGTCGTGTTCTTATGAATTGTCCTGAGATTGTCACCATCGGTTTGGTCTGGGATTCAGAACACTCCGACCTGACAGAAGAGGTTATGCGGAATCTGGCAACACAACTTTATCTTCCAGGGGTATCTGACCTAAAACTTACTCTTTGCTTTTTCTAGAATTTCATTGTACTTTTTATTTTATGTATATGTGAATATATAAAAACTAGAGATATTCATATGTATTTTTTATAAGCATGACTTAACTTGACAGGAAGTTTATATAAATATATGAAGTTTATATCTACTTTTACAGTTCTTTATAGTGTGCTGCTTGATGTAGTTTCTGTGAGAGGAAAAGGCCCTGTTGGAAGTGTTTTGTCCCTAAGTACAATGATTAATCTAGGAGACTTCCTCATTGAAAATCTATTGAAATTTGTGGAATTATTCCAGAGCATTAATACTTTACTCTTTCAAACACAAAAAACCCCAAAAAAGTCAAAGTAGACATAGTAAGTGCAAAAATGAGTATTTATGCTCAGGAAAAATTGTATAATACAACAGGACATGAAGTAACAGTTGCCTTAGTGAAATACTAGCAGTAGGTCAGGAAATTGAGGCTGTGTTTTGCACGTGTTTTAAAATATGTAATCATTTTTACAGCTGTTTTATAGGGTTACAGATGAAAATGCCAAAAACAGTGAGCTCTTCCTGGTGGGAATGATTTGCTACACGAGCCGACATTATTGTGCCTTTGCCTTTCACACCAAGAGCTGCAAATGGGTGCTGTTTGATGATGCTAATGTCAAAGAGGTAACATGATCTGATTTTTAGCCCTTACAGTGCTAGTTCTGTCTTTTCCTTGCCATTTATGCAACCCATTGTGCTAAAATGTTGTATCTTCGTGTACATTTGGAATTAGGCAGTTGGTGTCTCTTGCTTAATGAATTACTCTTTCCATATTTGGGTTCAGCACTGTTGATAAAGTTTTGGGATTTTGTTTTTTTGTTTTTTCTTAGATTGGAACAAAATGGAAAGATGTGGTGTCCAGGTGCATTCGGTGTCACTTCCAACCATTGCTGCTATTTTATGCTAACCCAGATGGCACAGCTGTGTCTCCAGAAGATGCACCAAAGCAGATTATTCACTGGTCTCAATGCAAAGCAGCAGGAGGAAATGGGGAAGACCTGGGTAATTAGATAATTAGATATATGGGTTTTTTTAATAACACTATCAGCTGTATTTCTGAAATGGGCACTATAACGGAGAAAAAATGGATTGGCTGCTTTGTTCTGAAATACTGTTATCAATAATTATCCAAAGAGTCTCAAAAGAAAAGAGATTAGTGTGTATACTAAGTATTAGACCTGTTAGTTTTACTAATTAGTATTAGTATTAGACCTGTTAGTAAGGGGATACAAATTGAGACTAATGGGTAATGGGAAAAAGAATCCAGTCTTTTGGTTCTGTAATTTGTACTGCTGTCTCAGGTTGGCTTTTTTAATTTCATGCTAAGCATAACTTACAAGGAACTTAAATAAAAGGCAAATTGCATTTGACATGTTATTCTTCACAACATGTGCAGCAATAGAACATGGATTACTTCAGGCAGCAAAGAATTGAGGACCCTGTTTCACTGCAGGCTACCACTGTAAATATGGCACTATATAAAATATTAGAGAACCTTATTGCCTAGTCTATTGAAATGTAGTGTGGTTTTTGGTGATGTTTCTCTTCTGGTTTTTTAATCCAGAATGAAAAAGCTGTCTCTCTTTTTAAAATTTTATATAGTAGAAATTTAAATTAGGAAGCTTTTTATTTCTAAAGATAAATATGTTGTTTCATAGGATTTGAAAAGCATTTGGCTGCTAAATCAGACCACGTGAAAGAGAATGGAATTGGAGATTCCACTAATCAAAGGAGTAATAAAAAACTTCAGCCAGATAATCCAGCATTCACTAGAAGCCATATTCAAGCAAGTGGTGGTAGAGGTCCAGGTGAGTATTCCCTACTACCACCCCCAAAAAGCCAAACCAGATGTGTTTTGTATGAAACATTTCAGCTGATAGCATTTCAGGGGGGTTCTAACCTCGGGACTAGAACTATTTCTAAGGGAAAAAATTCCATCACTGACTCAGTTGTTATTCAAAGATTTTCTCAATGTTTAAGTAATATCTGAATATCTGCCATGGAATGTTAACTTTTCCAGAGAGGGCTGTAAATGCAGAATATTTATTACCTTTGTTATGCTTTAACTGCAGTGGCTCTTGAGGCCTTATTCCATTTCTCAAACACTATCGAGCTTTCCAGTGATGTTGCTGATTAAAAGGCACATCAGTGACCTGAGGCTGAGGTGTGGCTCTGTTGGTCACTGGCTACTTGAGTACACTTTTCCCCAGGAATACTCTGATATCAGCATGATTTCTAGTCGTGGATGTAAATGGACTTGATCTTATGGTTGGAAAGAAATCTCACACTCCTAATCTGTGTCAAACAATTCATTAGTCAGTTTAAGTAGTCCTAACACTAAAACCTAAATCTTACTCCATAAGTACGTTTATGTGTTTTGGTGGTGGATGACTTTTGAGCGAGGATGTTTGACAAGAAGTATTTTTTGCAGCCAAGTTAGGATACAGTGAGCAGAAGGACAGGCTGAAGGATTTATCCCGAGAGTGTGCCCAGAAAGCTGCTGACATGAAAAACTTGACATCTGTACGGAAAGATGCAGACAGAGGACTAAGGAAAGAGTCTGGGAGACAAAGAGGTACATTTTAAAAATATAACCAGAGAACCAATGGATTAAATAACTTTTAGCATCAATGCTGCTTGTGCAGATTTTTTTCTCCTTTTAAGAGACCATACTGTAAGACAACACTTTCCCAGTTTTCAGTATGCTAAAATACATACTGGATTTGTAGAGACACTGTAAGAAACATTAAACAATATCAGTTAAATGACTGCTTCCTCCCTGGAAGTGTTCAAGGCCACGTTGGATGGGGCTCTGGTGGAAGGTGTCCCTGCCTGTGGCAAAGCAGCGGGAACTTTGATGAACATTGAAGTCCATTCCAACACAAATCACTCTGTGAAACATGAATGAGAACTGTAATGGAAGTTTTTTCCTTTTGTTCTTGTCAGACGTGGTCGGGGAAGAGCGTTCCAGTGCCAAGTCCGGGTCTCCTCCGGTCGGCAATGGGCTGAGGCCCTGCGCGGATCAGCGCGTCTACGGCAGCCAGGGAAGGGGCCCCTACAGGCACGAGAGCCAAGCACCTCAGCAGGCAAAGCTTTCTGCACATGGGCTTGGATCAAACAAGGCAGAGCCTTCTGCAGGGGACAAAGCAGTGACGAGGATTCGGAGCGATGGCGTCACTGGCTACGACACGGACACCAGCCAGGACTCCAGGGACAAAGGAAGTATGAGGAGCAGGAGTAAAGGTTGGAAACCAATGAGAGAGACACTGAATGTAGACAGCATTTTCAGTGACACTGAGAAGAAGCAGCACAGCCCAAAGCACAAAGCAAACCTGAGCAGTAAATCCAAGCACGAGAAGGAGCGGGGCTTTAACCACTGGCCCAAGGAGAACCAAATGCAGAAGGGTTTAATGACTATCTATGAAGATGAGACAAAACAGGATACAGGAAGTCGAAGTTCACTGGATTCTGAGGGAAAAGGGAATGCTGAAAAAAGCAAGGGATTTACAGAGAGAAAAATCCATGGTGATAACTGGCAAATTCAGAGGACAGAATCTGGGTATGAAAGCAGTGACCATATCAGCAACGGCTCTGCAAATCCAGACTCTCCTGTTATTGAAGGAATCAATACAGCAGATGCCAAGAATGTGAAGGAAAGTGCTTCCTGCAGGTAATGCCAGTTCTCTTAGAGCTTGCATAGGTTGTATTTATGGAAAAATAACCTGTTCTAACGTTTGTGTGTTCTTCAAAACCAAAACCATCCAGGAAAACATGCATTGAAACTTGCTTGAAGTCAGGTATGTGGAAAGCTAAAGTGTATCTAGAAATAAGGGTGTGGGCAATTAAATGTTCAATCTACCTTCACTCTGGTTCTCTTTGGGAGGCACTGAGCCAGTTACTGAGGCACTGAGCCAGAACTGCTAAGCCCTGCTGAGGGGCAGGGTGTGTTCATTTGTAGTAATTGCTACACTCCTTTACTTACAAGATTTTAGACTGTGTGTAACTTTCCATCCGCTGTGGAATAATACAGTGTCCCTTTTAATCACACCTGTACCATTGGTTCAGGCCCTGACAAGGAGATGGGAGTGGCAGCAGGTGAATTTTGGGTGCTGTTACCAGTCATAGTGCAGAAATTCAGTTTTCTAGATCACATCAGATATGTATTGAACACTTGGTAATTGATTGACCTGTCTGAAATAAATCTTTGCTGAAAAGTGTAAAGTTACTAAAACTGGTGGGACTTGATGGTCTGAAGAGGTCCATTCCAACTTAAATTTATATGATGATTGAAATAGGAAGTTATAATCCTTCCACATGCAGTTTTCAGTATTGTGTATCTCAAACTGTGTGTAGAATGCAGATCCTTCTATAACCCATTCTTCTTTCAAATCTGATTTGCATACATTAAATGGAAGAGCACAGCTGGGAGCCCAAGCCCAGCTCTCTTTGATAGATCTGATTTGCTAGATCCAAGGAAATTTTCAGATGTATATTCTCATGGCAACTTATTTCACAGGAAAAGAGAAAGGTCAAGGCCCTTTCATATGCTGCTATTTGCCATTCTCCCTTTTGTGCCTCCCACCAAATTGTACAAAATCCCACTATGCAAAAACCTGATGGGCTTTCATTAGTTAAGGACATAATTATGTATAAAGCTGCTCCAACTCATGGTTGTATTTTCAGTGTTTGATGGTTGCCTCAAACAGTGATTTTGGACAGTTGAAACTCTCATTTTAAGCATGCCCAAGAGACAATGGGGCACCTAAATGTATCATTTTGTGAGAGAGAATATGATAAATTTCTAACAGTGTAGTTCATTAAGAAGCTGCTTACATTGTTGTTTCAACAACAATGTCAAAGAAAGAAAGAATCATACTTCATTAAAATACAACTGACTTCCTGGGACTTCCAGACATGCTTTATATGACTGGTAATTTCAACTGGCTGGCAATACCTACTAGTTCCCTGCTAACCTTTAAGACTCTGTCTCATAAACCCCCAAAAATACAGATCAATTACTTGAAAGTCCTTTTAGAAAGTGGAAATATTACTGTTTTTCATTCCTCATATTTCTTTCAGTTTTTTTCTTGTTTTTGTGTCCTTTTAATAAAAGGTTTTTTTTTTAATTGAACTTTTGCCCCCATGTATCTTCTTCCCTGCCTTACTCCTGTAGAAGGTAGAAATTGGCAGAGTGTTTGTCAGCTTCTTATCTGGATTAGTAATGCATGTTTTCTGCTTATCTAAACCAGCAAGATTTAGTAAATCCTCTGATAATTTTTTTTCCCTCTCCTTTTGGGTTTGTAGCTGTGATCTTCCAGTTCTATTCCACTTTTAGGGGAAAAAATCAAATGACAATCCCTATGAACGAGATACCAAGTGGCAATCAAAACTTGAAATAATATTTGTTACCAAAACAAAGAATTAATAAATAGCAAATTATCAAATTAGGAAAATGGACAAGATGGAATGCTGGTTAACAGGTTACACTTAAGATATTTATACCTACAAATAAATTGGATTAGGTGACCAGTGGTGTCTGTTTAACAGTTTCAATGCTGTAATCACACATGTGCTTCTGTTACAGTGAACAGAGCTGGCCAACCAAAAAAGCTGACAGTGTGGTACATTCAGTACCCCAGCAGAACAGAAGCTTCCATGGTAAGAACCCATATAAAAATGAAGTTTTCAAAAACTATTGCAGATATACCAGAATTTCTCTGCCCCCCAGCCCCAAACCCCAAAAATCCCTCCCAGAGAGGACATGGTAATTTGGCTCACTCCCTGTGGTTTCCCCAGAAGCTTCTCCAGGAGATTTCTTGGTGGATACTAAGCAAGACTTTTTTTAAATGTCTGGGTGGACTGTGGCACCATTTGTTTTCCTCCTAGATATGAAGCAGTATCAGGAAGAAACACTTGTAATAAGGAAGTCTACTTCCTTTTACATACTAATATGTCTGCTAGGGTTTTAGAAAGTTGATAAATGCCTTGGCATATAAATATTATAGGTCAGCCTGAGGCCAGCCAAAATCATTATCTGCTGTTGTTGAAACAATGGGAGGGTGCTTGTACAAAGAGGGGCAATAAATATTAGGCCACTTCCTCAGGAAACATTTGATTTTCATAGATATCATACTTCTTTTCAAATAATGTATAGTATAGTTTCTCCTGGGACTTAAAGTGGGGGTGGGGATGTTGCCATGCCATTTCTACCTTCTCTGTCCTTTTTCTAATTTTGTTTTTAGTGCAGAAAGACAAGTAATTTCATATTTGCTTATTTTGGCAACCCAAAACAAGGAAACAAAAAAAAAACCAACCAAAAATGAGTAGCATGGAATGCAAAGATCTGATTTGCATGAGGTTTATTCTGCTTTAGTTCTGTACTATACCATTTCTATCAAACACAGCTGGATAGGAAAAAGGGGGAAAAAAAACCAGTGAAAAATACTTAACTACTCTTTAGGCATTAAAAATGGGTGGGTTAAAGCAATGAATTGTTCTCTGGAGAGAGTATTTAAGATTACTTAAAGCTTTCAACATGCATCCTACATTTTCTTTAAAAAAGTATAGTGATTCTATGTGATCCTCCAAGATACCATAAAGAAATTGATGATAGGATCCCATCTATTCAATTATTCTGATTCAGTAGATAGTTGTTAAATAGCTTCTTATAAAAATTGCATGTATTGAGCTCCATTTTGGAAAATAGTAATTCTAATGGAAGTGACCAAAAAGAGATGTGAAGAATTCGATACTTTTACATTTACGTGAGGTTAACAATTTATTTGGACTCAGTTTTTGGGTTGTGAAAAAGTGTGTCAGGACACCTTTAGCAAGGACAACAGCAGTACATTACCTTGTGTAATATATCAGGTACATTACCTTGTGTTCCACCTCTGAATACGATGAACTCCCAGAAAATAGAACTTTAAAAAACAAATGCTCAGTCCTTTCTGAGAGAGGAATGGAATGTAAGAAATCTTTGTTAGGCTCTCATGGCAACTCCAAAAAAAATGTCGGAGTGGTTTTCTTGTGTGGAAAACTTCTTATGGAAATAATGTTGGACTTCTAATTATGCCCACTGTTTGTATAACTGTGCTTTAGCAGCTCCTTGTTTTTTACTGGAGCTGAATGAGGTTACTGTTCAGCACTCGTGGAATCCTGTCCCTGACTTAACCAAAATAAACTTATTGTCAGAACATTATAAAGATGGAAACACTGGATCACATGGTGTTTGGGAGAGCAAGTGGCTGCTCCTTACAGGGGCAGTTAGCAGTGGATAACTGTAGTACTGAAACAAAGGTCCCACAAAGCCAATCCCTAAATTGTGTGGTCAGATTTTGGCAGGAAAATGTAAATATTGAGTAAGCAGATGTAGTATCCATTATTTATGTTAATCGCTTTGTGTTTATAAAGTTTGGAATCAGTGAGCTGAGGAGGCAAAATTTTTTGAGTATGAAAAACCTGAGACATGAGCAGTGTGAGGGCAAGATATCCAACCTCATGTTTTGCAAGTTAAAGGAAGATTATTAACTTTGATGGTTTTCCCATTGTTTTTTAATGGTTTTCCCATTGTTCAGTTCAACAGCATGTGCCAACTCAAACTGAAATCTAGAATCATTCTGAAGATCTGGTTAGTGTGTAAGAAGAAGCCAAATTGCCTTTGCTTATGTGTCACATCAGAAAACCCCACAAACCAACCACAACTCAGGAAGACAGCTCATATGCTTAGGAAAACTGAACATTTATAGTAATAATTTAAAACATGCAACTGCTCTTAAGGAAATCCAGTTCTTACCCTTACGTGCAGTCAATGTACATTAATGTCACATTTTAAGACATGAGTAGAGAATTAAAGCTTTGTAGCTACTTAGTTTACTTACCATGAAAGAGAAACAAATAAAGGCTTTACTAGGGTATCTTCAAATGATAAAATAAAGATACCTATGAAAGGTTTTGCAACTGAACGTTGCTCCAAAAGTCAAGTTTCTAGAATAAAAGGATTTCTTTTTACTTTTTTAAAAAGAAGATTGCTCACTGTATTTCAGAGATAATACTGCATTTTGGACAAGTTATATTTTCTTCCTTGACTGCGAGGCTCTTATTCCACATTTCCAAAACTTCCAATAAGTTTGCCTGTTATTTCAACTGAATACAGACAATATCTGGGCTAAGAGAGAGGAATTTGCCCACAAATATTTGTTACAATAAGTATTCTGCTTTGTTGCTGGGTTTTTTATTGACAACTTAGGAAATCTTAAAAAAAATTCCAGGAAGCATGCAGTTAAAACCCATAAAGAGGAAGCTGAATTTAATGTGGAGTTGAGTTTTTGTTGGAGGTTTCCATTGGGGTTTTGTGTTTATTTTCATTTGGGATGTTTTTCCCCACAGAAGCTGGACTTGGTAGATTTTTGCACATGTTCTGTCTGTGTAAATGGAGATATATTAGACAAGACCTTGCTGGTCCTGTCTGTGGGCCTAGTGCTACCTGTAGAATGGATGTTCATCTCTTGAAAATCTGGATTGACTACCCAGCTGTGAAAATAGATGTCTGTAAATCTTAAAAGCAGACTGGTTTATATATCAGGACACAATTACCTTTCGTTTATTGCTCAGCTCTTAATGACCCATTGATAAGGATGCCGAGCTGCAGCCGAGCAGGGCTTGTGCGTCCCATATTTAGGTTTGCAGAGAACATAGAGCCAAAATTCCTAATCGAGCCGGCGGCTGGTTTTCGCCGTGCATGGCTGTCCTGTCAGCAGAAGGAAAATAACACATCTATTTTTAATTGGGCTGGAATTCCGCGGGCACGGAGCGCTGGGTGTGCCTCTGCTGCCCCCTCCCGGCTCCTGCGGGAATCGGCGCTGCAGGGAAATCACCCCGGCCCGCGGCAGAACGAAACATTGCTGTGTGAATTTCTGTGTGCAACACTGCCTCGGTGCTGGTCATCTCTCTGCCAGGCAGCTCCGTATTCAGTTGAAATAACAGGCAAACTTATTGGAAGTTTTGGAAATGTGGAATAACAGTCTCGCAGTCAAGGAAGGAAATATGTTATAACTTGTCCAAAATGCAGTATTACCTCTGAAATACAGTGAGCAATCTTCTTTTTAAAAAAGTAAAAAGAAATCCTTTTATTCTAGAAACTTGACTTTTAGAGCAACATTCAGTTGCAAAACCTTTCATAGGTGTCTTTATTTTATCATTTGAAGATACCCTAGTAAAGCCTTTATTTGTTTCTCTTTCATGGTAAGTAAACTAAGTAGCTACAAAGCTACTTAGTTACAAACAAATGAAACATTTCTGTGTGAAGTACTGCCTCAGTGCTGGTCATCTCTCTGCTAGGCAGCTCCGGGGCACACAAGCTGTTTTGAACTCTCAGGCTCATTACTTGTGCCTCGTGTGAGCTCATTAGTAAGAATATTTTCCCATAAATGTTATTACTAAGGTTGTGGTATTGTTTGTTATGACTTTTTTTAATTTTTTCATCTCAAGACTTGAGGAAAGCTGTATGGTGGCTTTGTCTCTTGAGCTGTGTGCTGCTTTAGCCTCTGCTACCTGTGTTCTTGGTGAAAGATTTCATGTCTTTAAAAGTCTCACATCACCTAAACATAGGGCAGATATTGACCCTCAAAACAAGCGTCACCCAACAGCAACACCCACAGTTTTCACTTCAGTTCTGCTCTGTTGTTGGGGTTTTGGCTCACATGTTCACGAGTCTAAAGACTTCCAAGACTTTAAATATTTAAAACTTAAGGAAATAACAAGTGAAATAGGTGTAGCAGTTATGAATGTAGTCTGTACACAGCCAAAATAAGCCATTGTATTAATAATAATAATAATAATAATAATAATAATAATAATGATAAAAATAAGAAGCCATTCCTTTGAGTGATTTCAGAGCAGGTGACTGATATTAATGGGCTAATCATGGCATTAGGAAGATTTGGAGTGTCTGTCTCTAAACAAATAGACTGCTGCTTGTCACTTGCCAAGTGAGTGGTTTATGCTGTGTAATGTTGACACGAACACTTCAATGCTTCCTTTATTTCCTGCTCACTAGGAGCTGCCTTGCTCAGAACTTGTGTATTTTCAGGGAATGACTCTTTGCCTGGGAATAAAAGGAGCTTGAGGAGTGGGAGTGCAGTAGTGCTGGCCCAGGCACTCAGTGCTGTGTGTTTGGGGCACATGGGTGACCGTGCTCTTTGTCTGCCCAGTGTCTCTGTGAGCCTTACAGCCTGCTCTAGGGTTTGAGCTGCTAAAACCCACAAACAGAACAACCTGAACCACCCCCAATCTCTGCAGTATTCATTCTGTTTAATTATTGTAACACATAATGAATTTTTAGAAGTCATAGTTTTATTTTGTCATTTAAATGACTTTGGATGTTTGAATAAACACCCTTTTAAGAAAAGCTTCCTTTGAAAATGTACTTTTACCCAGATTAAATATTAAGGTGATCTTGAAAATATGTCTACAGGACTTCAAAACTGTGATGATTACCTATTTCCTGGTAACAAGAAAATGCAGAAAATTTCCTCCAGATTCTAAGATCTGACCTGCTGTGCAGATTATTTTCAAAATGGTTATTTTGATTAATCTCAAATCTTGAAAGAGATTGTCCTGTTGTATTTTCTTTGTTTCTGTAATCTCTGAGGAATTACAAAGAAGGAATTGGATTTTACATCTGTTAACTTTGAAATATTTTTTTTTCTAGCCCCAGATTTGAGGAAAGACCAGATCAATTCTGAAGTTAACTACAGACCTCATCCTCATGTTGGTTTCCCAACAGAATTACATTTGCAGGTGCCCAGTCCTCCAGTAAAGAGGTAAGCAGTACTGGCATATTCCTCTGTAACAGTTTAAGAAATACTGATTTCTGTTATGTTACAGTGATCAATATTAAGCATTGACAAGTTAAAGCACTCAATATTTTTGACAGGCAATTCCTTTTGAATTTTGCATAATTGATGGGTCTAAACTCTGTCTTTAATTTTGATGCTGACAATGTCACCAATTGGCTTAGATGGTTTGAAACCATCTTACCAGAAACAGAGGGATTTAACATTTTCCTGTTTGGAATTTTATGCTACATGCAGTAATTAACCAATTTGTGATTAGTGCAGTCACCCCATAAAGCTTTGAAAGATTCGTCTGGAAGGGGGAAAAGAGTTTATTTGTGTTTAGAAGCTACTGCTGTATCTTGTTGTACTAATATGAACTCTAAGTGCTCAATATCTCCTAAAAATGAAGAAAGTAAATACAAATGTATCAACTTAAAGTAGCATCCAGTATTTGAAAAAGGATGTATCAGAGTCACAAGGATGTTTAGAAGAGAGTGGAGTCCTGAATGTTGAAGGAATTTATCTTACCTTCTTGGGGCACATTTACATTTCAAATGAAAGGAACTTTGGAGTAATTTAATCCAACTCCAAGGGCTGTATCCTATTGAACAGATCCTAACTCTCTTGTTGGTTTGAATATTTCAGCAGTTTCACCAAGAGCGTATTTGAAAAAATCCCTGTTACCTGAGCCTTTTCATATGTTTTTATGGATACTCACATCCTGTGTGGTTTTGTATTTTAGAGTTGAAATGCCTGAGACCAACAGGAAATTTTTCCCATCGCCAGCTCTGCAGCCAGCTGTCAAAGAGATTGTGAAGTCAGACAGCAGGAACAAGGCGAGCGCACCGGGCCCTTGCGAGTGGCTCCAGGCAGAGAGGTTTGAGAAGCTGCACGTGCCGGTGTTCTGTGCAGACAGCGTGCCCCACCCCTTCCCAGACAATGCCTGTGCCAGGAAGCCCCTCCACAGCGACTTTCCTCCCCTTGCCCAGCCGCAGTCCCACCACCCAAGGAGTCTGTCCCATCCCGCTCTGGGCCCCAAGGCGGGGCCGGTGCCCTGTGCGCCTCAGGGCCCGCAGGAAAGGCCGGCGGTGGCGCCCGTCCCTCCCGGTGAGCACGTGGGGCACCTGCTCCGCAGGGCAGATCCCCTCTGGGTGCCTGAAGCCGTGTACCAGAACGTTCCTCCCCCCTTACCCCCAAAGAAATACGCTCTGAGCGCTTTGGCAGGATCAGAGAATAACTCGCCAGCAGATGCGAAATCGACGGAAGCGTTGCGGAACAGTCCCTCGAGGCAAACAGGTGCACCTTCAAAGTCTGCAGCAGAAGCAAGCGCGGTCCCAGCCGAACAAAGGCTCAAGGAGCCCTTTCCAGGGAACGAAGTGTTTGTTCATAAACCGGATTCTCCACCTCGCTTATCGGTTAATGAGTTCTGGACCGTGTCTGAGAACATGCTGAAGAAAGGATCTCGCCACACGGGCCCCAGCCCTGCCTATGCGGACGGGAACGACAACGTGTCCCTCACCACTTACTTCTCAGTAGACAGCTGCATGACTGACACCTACAGGCTCAAGTACCACCAGAGACCCAAGCTGTATTTCACAGAGAGTGGGAGCTTCCACAAGGAGAAACATTCTCCAGCAGCTGCAGTAGATCTGAATGCCACATACCCCGCCACTCTGGAGCCCAGGCATCCCACCCCTGAACAGAGGTACAAGGCAAATGCAGAAGGAATACACTGCAGTCGATAGGTTCTTCAAGAAGCCCACACCTTGATGTGACTTCAGCGTTTGATGATGTCTGTAAAGGGGCACAACCTCAAATCTGTGTGTGTGTGTGATAACCAGGTACCCAGCTGGCTGTACTTGCTTAGGAGTTGTGACTGTCCAAACAAATATGCAAATAGAGGCGAAGAGAAGAGGTGCTAAACTTGTGGTTCTTGGATGTGTTACTCTAGTTGCCTTAATGCTTACCTCTGTTACTCAGCTTGTCTTCTTCAGTTTGTATCCATGTGGTCCCTTGGGCGTGCACACCTCGCAGCAGTGGGATCAGCTGGATGTCACTAACTCTGTAAGAAGATGTGGTTAGCTGCAGTGTATGAAGTGTTCCTTCAAGCTGTGGTCACTGTTCTTAGACTAACAAAAGGGAGAAGCATGCTACCAGAACTAATGCAGTACATGAAGTCATGACAGAGCAGTATTTATCCTCAGAGGTAGCAGGAGGTGACATGGCTTTTTCAAGCGATGTCTCTCGGAGTCTGTGCTTTCACAAACCTTCAAGTGTCTTTAATGCAAGTTTACCCAGAGGATTTCTTTTTTATTTGAAAAGCCTTAATAACAATACTTCTTTAAAAACCATTTTGGTTTGCAAGTGTTAAATTAGACTTGCAAAGGGAATTGAAGTAAACTGCAGTAATGCTTTCCTATTAATACCTCTGCTCTGTTAGTGTACATTTTTAAACACGTTTATCAGATTTTTTCCTTTAAGCTGTATACTTTAACTTATTAAATTTAACTTCCTAAGTTACAAACCAGTATAACAGAATAGGATGCTAATTTTAAATAGAGTTATGCAACTATGACAGATTCATTTTGTAACATTTTAGAAGTAATTCCTACTTACGTTCAGTTCTGACTTATTCTACAATTGCATGCCAAGTCAATGCTGCTATTTATTAAACTTCCCTTTATTTTCCAGGTTCATGGGGATCACACATTTTGACTTTTTTTTTTTTTTCATTTTTCTTTTTGTTTACCAACATGTTTTCCCATTTGGATCAGTCCTACACAAGGATATGGTCTGCATTAGCAGGTCAGGCTGAATGTGCAGCCAGACTGGTGGCTAAGGGAGCATGGAAAGAACAGGTTCCTCTTTCTCTGCTCTATCACTCTTCTCCAGTTTTGGCAGCTCTGGAATTTACCTTGTCTTTTGTTAACCTGACTTATCTCTGTAACAAGGAGGAAAATTTATTTGGCTTTTATCTGTTTAGGTAAATCAGTGCATAGAACCATCTAGTGAGTGCTGAGGCAGCATAGCAAAGCCTGGCACAACCTAAAAAGGTAAAATTTTTCCATTATTCACATTGGAGTGTTAACTTGGGGTGCTGCTGATTACACCTAAACATCAATGCCTTTTATTATGAAAATAATAAGAAATCAGAAAAGCTTTTTTTTTTCATGTTCATAACCTTATGTACATGTGTTTTAGTGGTTCAACCAAATCATGGCAATTGTTTAGCACAATTATCCAAGGTAAACATTTAAACAGTAGTTTTGGTTATTCTGTGGCAAGGTCAGTTTTTTTTTTCTTTTAAGTAACATGTACCTTACAGTAGAACTGGAACATGATATATATGCAACAAACCAGGTATCTCAGATTAACCTTTCTACCTTCTTGATCAAAATTTGTTGTAGCACTTGGGGAAAAAATGAATTCTATAATTTATAGTGAAAATACTATGCATGTTTCTGTATGGCTGCTAGTAAACAGCAACTTAAACAATGATCCTTTTGTAGGAAAATAAATTGAATACAGAAGAACACTAAAAATGTAAGAACTTGGGTGATTCCTCTTGTAATATTTTTAAGAGAGATTTCAGAACCTGTAAATTAAACTTTTCTAGTTCACCTAGCCATGTTACATAATATACACAGCCAGTTAAGTACAACTGTCCTCTAATACCTGTGTAAAAACCAAGATTATTGGAATTTGTAAATAATGTATAATGTGTAAAATTATGTTTTGCAAAAAAAAAAAAATCTTGTATTTGAAATGACAGTATTTTTATGTATGGATAGCACAGCAACAACTGTGAATGACGTTAGAACACTTGTTTTTAAACATGCATAGCAATGTTGATACTTCTGTACCACGAGCAATATGAATGCCTCTTACTGATACCAATGAACTCTGCTCCCAGTAAGCACAACTGGTAAACTCCTCTCTAAAGTAGCTGCAGTAACTTAGGTGTACTTCAGTTTCCTTGCTGAGCTTGGAGCAATCTCACCAGACAGCTTCCTCTGTGACCCATGTTTACCAGGTATTTCATGATTAAACAGACAGCTAATCAAGGCACCTTCATTTTTATATTTGCCTCTGCACTCCATGTATGTATGTATGTATGTAATATTTGCTAACTAATATGTGATAACTCGTTTTAACTTACCTAGGGTGCCTATTTATTTTTTTATAAATGTCCCTTCCCAGCTATAGATTTGTATAAGAGCCTAGACAATTTTTGTAACAGTAAAGAAATTAATGAGTCTTGTAATTAATATATTTTTCAGTCTTTAGGAATATTTACTTGTAAAGTTCTACTTGTTCAAAATATCAAGATAAAAATTTAAAATCTTTATTGTCTGTTCTTTTTGTGTTTCTTGTTTAAAAAAACCAACAAAAGTTGGCTGTCCAGAACTAGATTTTGAACATGACAGATAATGCTGCTAACTGATGGTTCAAAGTCTTTGTGGAGATGGTGGTCTGGTCACCTTTTCTGAACAGGAAAATTCATCTTCTGAAGTATTTGTACATAAAGCTGTTAAATAGATTAAACTTTTTAAACAGCTATGAAATGCATCAAGCCATTTTTATACCGTAATCCCACAGATTTGGTGACAAGTGATTGACAGATTCATGGGATACCTTACTGTCTTTACTAGGGATAAGCAAAATTCACCTGGATCTCTGTGCTTAGGAGCTCCATGTGCCTATGGAACAGCTGGAGCCCAGTGCAGCACCAGCCTGCACTTCGTTAGCTCTTATGTTTTCTGAGATGAGCAAAACCTTTCATGTTAGATCTGGCTGAAGGAGACAACTAAATTAGTGGAAAATAGCTTGAAATTCAACTTCCTAAGCTTTAATAGCCTTTAAACCTCACCTGCCTCCCTTATGAAAAAAGAAATGCAGTAACATTACATTCTTCTCCCAATAGGTTGTTCCCTGGGGATCTCACTTGTGATATCATGCCAGAAGGGGGGAAAAAAAGGGCAGTGAATGTAGTGAGCTTGTCTTTTTAATGCCTGATAGGAAAAACTGCAACTCCCTTTCTGGTGTTTGTGAGAATGCAGTCACAGCTCAGGGCTCCAAGATCTCTGAAACCACCCTGAGCTCACAGGTAGCTGCAGCCATGATGAGAAATGCCAGCAGGGCACAGCATCTCTGTTCTTACAGCACAGGGCTGACATATGGAACAAACCACTGCCAGCAGCAAAACTGTCTTCACAATTGAATAAAAATGAAAGAAAGAACATCTGTCTATTTTTGCATCCCAAATCCTATTTAACCTCATTCTGGGCCATTTTCATTTATTGTGTGAGAAGACACTGAACCACTCAGCATTGCAAGTATCTGCAACCCAGTTATTTTGTTTTATGTGCTCCTGGAAAAAAAACAACCACCAGGCATGGATTGTACTTCTCAGAATTAGAAATTAGTATTCCCAAGGGAAAAATGCTAAAGAAAACTGAATCCCCTTCACCCATAGCTTGAAAACGCTTCCCCCAAATCTGCCCTGGCAAAAAGTTCACTCCATGTGCTCAGCTTCTGTTTCTTTCTCTGAAGACTGCAAAAGACTCCTTCCTTTAACACAAACTTGAAAGTCTCCCTCTAGTGAGACAGAGGAAATTGATGCTGAAACCTTTTAATTACCTGCTACTGTCTATTATACCATCCATGGGCGGGGAGGAGGAGGGATCTTTATGTGTCATCTGCCAGTGACTCAAGGCTGCTTTTGTAAGCTCCTCCTTCACAGTTTCTAGCAAGGAAAGCAGAACCTGATTTATCTTAATCAGAAAGTGAGGACAAGACACTGCTGCTGGGTTAAACACTGAAATGTTTATATATGTGTATATTTATATCTATAAATACTGAGCCTCAGAGGGCCCAGTAACTGCTGAAAGTAAAGAAAGAAAAAACAGAGAGATGTATTATAGAAAACCAACCAGCATCAACCCATCAGGATTAACTTTTTGGAAGCAGAACAGCTGGCCAAGCTTCATCTGTTGAGGGCACAGATCTGAGCTACAACTTCAGTGTACAGAAGAGCTGGGTTTTATTCTCAGCCACTCTGCAGTGGATTTTATTCCCACAGTGCACACTTCCATGTCTGCCCAACAAACCTTTAGGCACTAATCACAAAGCACAGTCAGTCTGTCGTGCGGGATCTCCAAGGCACGGCTCAGGACACACGAGCAGGACACAGGCCAAACCCAACAGTGACACTTGTGACACACAGAGCTCCATCACGGTATAGCACAGTACAGAAATGTGCCTCCTCCACCCACACTCAAGTGGAGCCGCGTTCCCTGTTGGTTATCCCGCACAAATTGTCCTCCTCTCCACCGCCGGTGTTCGTAAGGTGCGAAATAGGTGAGAATTCCCTCGGTGGCGATGGCCCTACAGGGAACAGAAAAGGTCTGGTGATGCTCGCAGCGCTGCACAGCCTTTCAGAGCACACTGACATGTAAGGAGCATCAATTACACCTCCTGAACAAACGGTGGACAATAAATCTCGCAAACAAATAAACAAAGCTGGCGGTGGTTTGGAATCGTTTCCAGTTTCCTGAGAGGAATTTGTGCTCCTTCAAGGCGGGGCTGTGGGAATGCCGAGGCTGCTCCCAGGGGCCCGCTCCTGAAGCAGACCCTTTCCTCCAGGGGGCACAGCCCGTCGGAGCTGACCGACCGACGGACCGACCGCCGGACCGACCGCCCCCGAACGCCGCTCCTCACCTGGGCCGCGCCCTCAGGGCAGCAGGTAGATAAGCAGGAAAAGCGCCAGGTCGAAGAGGATGAAGAGCCACAGATCCAGCCAGTAGGACTGTCCCGATAGGGATGGGGACATCACCCGCCCACCATCGTCCCGCTCCCGCTCCTGCCGTTCCGGCTCCCGCGGCCGCCGCCGCGCCGCCGCCTCCATCTCCTCGGTGGAAGGGGGATGCAGGGCGGCGGCCCCACCGCGCAGGCGCCAGCGGCTCTTCCGGGTGCGGGGCCAATGGGAACGGAGCGCACGTACCACGGCCACGCCCCCGGGGTCACGCGCGGCGGCCCCGCCCCTCCCGCCTCAGGCAAGCCCCGCCCCCCCGCCTCAGGCACAGCCCCGCCATTCCCGCTTCAGGCACCGCCCCGGCCCTCCCGCCTCAGGCAAGGCTTCACCATTCCCGCGTCAGGAAAGCTCGCTATCCCCGCCGCAGGCAGAGCCCCGGCATTCCCGCCTCAGGAAAACCCCGCAATCCCCGCCTCAGGCAGAGCCCCGGCATTCCCGCCTCAGGAAAACCCCGCAGTCCCCGCCTCAGGCAGAGCCCCGGCATTCCCGCCTCAGGAAAACCCCGCAATCCCCGCCTCAGGCAGAGCCCCGGCATTCCCGCCTCAGGAAAGCTCGCCATCCCCGCCTCAGGCACCGGCCCGCTCCACCGGCCCGCTCCTCCCAGCCAAAGCCCCCCCCATTCCCGCCTCAGGAACGCCCCGCAATCCCCGCCTCAGACACCGCTCCGCCTCAGCCAAAGCCCTGCAATCCCCGCTTTAGGCACCGGCCCGCCACTCCCGCCTCGGCCAAAGCCCCCACTATTCCCGCCTCAGGAAAGCTCCGCAATCCCGGCCTCAGGCACAGCTCCACCATTGCCCCCTCACGCACCGACTCCCCGTTCCCGGCCCGGCCAAAGCCCCGCAGTCCCCGCCTCAGGCATAGCCCCGCCCCTCCCGCCCCGGGCGCTGCCTTGTAGGGTGGGCTCTTGAGGTAAAGGCGCTGGACGCGGAGGGTATTTCTGCTTGTCCGTCTGTTTTTGGGATAAGCGGTGCTTGATGTGGATTCCGCAGTGCTGGTGGCTGACATTCCTTCCCGGGCGCTGCTGGCTGCCGCTCCCTGCCAGGTGAGATGCGGACACTGGGGAAGAGCAGGCGGTCAGTCCTGTCACCTGTGCCGGGGCTTGTGTGGAAATAAAAATTGACCAACTCCTCCCGATGCGGTTTCATGGAGAGCAGATGATGCTCTGAGAAAAACTAGAAGACCTTTTGGGAATCCTGTTGTGAAGAAGTTTAGGAAAATTAAAATTGTTTTAAGATACACTCCTTAAGGTTAGTCGGAGCTTGTGCACGGGACGAACGTGGAAAAGTTCATGTAGGTAGTGTATTCTGTTGTGCTTTATGTGCACAACACCCAGCTGCAGGAGTAAATAAAAAAAAACCGAAGTGGCACAACGTGATGCCACACTCACACCTGGGATGTGCCACCCTCAGTCCTTCCAGTGCACTCCATATTGAAATCAGGGCTATCGTTTTTGTGTCCAGAAGAATTATCAGAAACCCAGGAGTGTGTGAAACAAAACCTTTCTCTTGGTAGCTATTACCCCCTTTTAGCCTCAATATTAGGAGATATTAAGAGATTTTATTAAGAGATTGCAAGCAGGTGCTTCTGAACAGAGCTTACTTTTCTTAAACAAACACTTAAAGGTAGCAGCTTTACTTTATAAGTTCTGTCAATAGAAATAAGGATGGATTTGTCTCTATATAGCAAGTATTGATTAAGCATGTGTAGTAGATGACGTATGTTAGACATTTGGGGCAAAACAATGACAGTACTTCCCTTTTAAGCCTCGTCCCCATCTGTACTATCTCATTTATTTTTGGTTTTCCCATAATTTTGCGCAATATTAAATGCACAGAGAAACTGTTTCTCAGTATAAATGCCTTTGCAAGGAAACTAAGTTTCCATTTGAGAGCTTGTGCAAGAAATACTGCAGTTCTGCTTATGCAAAATAGTTTCTGCAGCCTTTGTGGCGCTTCAGCAGGACTTGGTACAGAAGACATTTTAAAAAGCGTTTGGTAATGGGAGTTTGTTCATTCGAGGCAAAACGGGAACATGAAGAACTAGCCCATGTTTTCAGCATAGGTAACTGCTGCTAGGGAGGTGGTGTGAGGGGATGGAAAGGGAAAGGAAACCACGCAGAGGATGTGTAGAAAATGGTCTTTTATTGTTCCTTCATTGTGGTGCAGTTCTGTGTGAAGCGCTCAGCCCCTTTTGAAGAATCTCTTGGACTCAACTCCTTCGTATAGGTAGGTCTGTTAAAAAATTAGGAAGGAAAAATCAGTGGCTGGAATTGCAAAGTTTCATTTCCCAGTTATGGTTCAGAGAGTTTGAAATTCTTTATAGGCAGCTGAGAATTTTAACTATAGATAAATGAAGTTATTTGGCTTGAAGAAAATATTTTCTACTTTTAGAAAAGCTTTTAAAACTTTTCCTGTTGATTCTATTGCAAACTTGTGTGTAAATGACTTCTTAACTCACCTGAACGAGTTCATCACCCACAATTTCTCTGGTTGCTTTAAGCACTTTTCCATTGTCTTTTCTGGTAAATGTGGCCACAAGTTTATTTCCTTCCAGGGTCCAAGCACCCTATGATGGGAAAAAAGCCCAAATGTTTTGCAACAGTTAGGACACTGATTTGGTTTAAAGGCTGTAGAATGCTTAAAAGTGAAAAAAAGATTAAAACAGTGTAACAATGCTTTTTAGCAAGGCTGTAAAAATGAAATTTTAGTGAAACCCTTGGCTTATTTAAATACATAATGGCCAACCTAGGTGTTTTTTACTGGTCAATACACTTAATTTTAAATAATTATATCAACAGAGATTTGTAATTTCTTACAAATACCCACTCTAAGTGGTGAACTTGAGTATTAGAAGAAGTAAAATTGCAAATCACCTGGATTTCACCTTATGAAAATTGCTATTTGCTCTGCTTTTTGGGCTCTCTGGAACCCTGAGATCCACGGTACAGTCTTGAACCTTTAACAGTGAAGACTCCCTTATGCTTTGCTGTATGAGCTGCAAGCATTCCTGAACAGTCAGGTTCAGGAAAACGTCATGCAATTCCGAAGGAGAATTGAAATGACAAAAGCTCACAAGACACACGATTCATTTGGAAAGTGCAGTTACAGAGTCCCTGTCA